TTATCTGATCAGAGAGGAGTTAACACAGAAGCAAATAGTATATAAAATAGGCAAAGAAAAGCCTTAAAAGAAAAAAAGGGGGTGGATGCTCCTGCCTCGTTCTCTCGAGGCACTGAAAATCCTTGGGTGAAAAAAAATATCCTGAACCTTGAAAGTGCTGTCCTGAGTGATGTGGTAGGGATGAACTGGCTTGCAGCAGTAGCTGCTGGAGGTCTTCTCTTGCAGAAAGAGGCATGGGGTCTACCTGAACCATGAATAGTTTAACCTTAAGAGAGAAAACACAGTGTTTCTCCCGTGCATATTTTCATAGATCTAGAGTCCCTTGAGCAAATGCTCTTTTATTATTGAAAGTGCTCTTTCTGATTATGGCAGTCAGCTGTCATTAGAGGTCTTGAGAAATAGCAGACTGGAAGAAAGGTGGAAAATCCATTTAGGCAGGTTGTATCACCTTAATCTATAAACAGATGAGAAATAAGAGGAGCAGTAAATGATAATATGACATAGACCTGTGGACTATGTCCCAGCATTCAATGCATTTGTACATGATTTTGTTCAAGAACAGAAATAGTAAAATATTTCTATTCAGGTGAGCATTTGGAAGAGACAAGCTGGTTAAATGCCTTGCTAGTACATACATGTCTAAATCTGAGGATTAAATGTGCGGAAAATGTTCTAATGGTGTCAGGGGTCTGATGGTCTTACTGTTGCGTTTTAAGAAGGTTTTAAAAAAAAAAGTCTATACGTCCCTTAATTCTGTCTGATAGCTGAGACTCCATACCTGTCTGACTTGACCATCTATTTTGAGACTTTATCACCTGACTTTTCTGTTGTCGTAGTGCCACTGAAATTCTAGCGATATTAAAATACTGATTGTTAAATATTAATGATCCTTTACCTGCACGTACAGAGTTTGTCTATTGCCTAAAAGAACTAGCTTTTAAAAATTAGATAACTAATGGATTGTGTGATGGATAGTGAATTGTTTCTGTATGACAAAAGACAGAACGTTTCACTGGATATTTGGAGAGCGAGAGAATAGTAGGTGAGTGCGTGAAGGGGAAGGAGAAGTTTCTCTCTTGTTTGAGATGGAAGTGGGGAGGAAGTCTTGCATTATATTCTAGAGGAATTTTGGACAAAATTCAAAGAATGCTTGAATAGTGGAAAAGAGATAAGAAAGAAGCAAATGGCATAAGCGTCTAATTTTTTTCTGGAATTATATTTTAGTGCTGTCTAAAGTGAAGACTGATTTTGCCATTTTGCTGGAAATACTTGCAAAATCCTGAGTATTTCAGCAGATTGTTTCCCAGAAATGATAGCCATTGTGTACACGGTTGTCACTTTGGGATATAGCCTGAATCACCTAGGTACTTAGGGAGGAGAGGCTGTCAACATGGATTTTGGTGGCCTAAGTCAACTTGACTCTTAAGTTGCTGGACTCAGAAAACCTAAAAAAAAGTGCACAGATACAATGTACTGTAACACAAGTAGAGCTATGGAATTGTTACAAATGCTGTGATAAGTTGAAGATATAATGAGCAGATTGAGTGTATTTCTTTACTGCCATATATTGCTAATTGACTGTAAACTGTTTTAATTTCTGAAAGTTAGCAATTCTGTAGGTCCTAATAATTCATAATGGACATGAACAAGTCGGTAGTATTCATGTTCTGTTGTCCTATCTTAAACTACTGCATCTTTTTTGAACAATGATGTCTTAGCGGTGTATGCAGTTATATATAGGAACAAAAAAATGGCTTATAGATGTTGCAGAATAATTAAATGTTTGTAAGTTCATTGGCTCACTTATCACTCTTTACTCCTGTTGAAATGAATAGTTTTGTGTCTTGCCAGATTTGGTAGACTAAATGTTAGTTGCTCTCTCAAACTCCTCAGGCTCCCTTGAAAGGCATTCCTTCCGTATCTTTTAGGGAGAAAGGATAAGGATGAGAGAATCATTCCCACAATCTCAGTTGTATTTCTAGCTGTTCCTAGAAATTGCTGTGATAAGTTTTGCTAGGAACATAGAGGGAAGTGGTAGCAGCTTAGAAGGAGAGTGGGATGCTGATGACCAGGAGGCAGCAACAATGATCTGAGACCATAAAACAGTAGAAATACTAGTTTGACAGTACCTCTGTGGTCATGTAGTCCAACCTCCTGCTTAAACCAGGACTGTCACCAACACTGGGTCAGATCGGGTATGATTTTTATTTAGCTGCATCTTGAAAACCTTCAAAGATGGAGACTCTACAGCCTATCTGATCAGCCTCTTCCAGAGCTGTGCTCTTCTGGTGATGAGCACTTTCCTAATGTCCAGAGTGAACCTCCCAAGCTGCAGCCTGTGGCTGTTGACTCTTGTATTGCCTGGCACTGCAAAGAGGAGTTTTACTCCGTCAGTGTTGTAGCTGCACTTGAGTTGCAGGCTGTGATTAGATTGTCCTGTAGCTGCCTTTTCTCCTGACTAAAGCAGCCCAGCTCTCTCAACCTCTCTCATAGGTCATGAGCTCTGCAGCCCTAACCATGCTGTCATCTCTTTCCTGGGCTCTCTCCAGTTTTTCTACTCTCGCCTTGAACTGAGAAGCCCAAAACTGAACACTGTAGTGTGGCTGTGGCCTGATCTGTGCTGACCAGAAGGACCTGATAACTTCCTTTGATCTCCTGACTACACACCTCCTAGCGTAGCCCGGTACACCGTTAGAAAGCAGAAAAAATGTTAAAGAAAATGTAGCCCCGATGACCCTGAGAAGGTAATTGTATTAAAATTTGACCTGAAAGTACAGGGGATCACTCAGTTATCCATTATCCAGCCACTCACTTTTCCATCCTTATGCTATTTTTATTTTTACCTTTGAAATGATTTAAGGGTGAGAAATCAGGACATCTAGTTCAGGCTTTTATGTAGTAAATATTACTGGTGATGCTACTCAAACCTAATTGCCTGTAAGACATTATGCTTCTGCATCTGGGAATCTTCAGGAAACTTTTATTCAGTTTGTTCATGAAGGCATGACGTTTTACTTTTAGTATTGCAAAGAAAGTGTTGTCCTATTCCAAAAGAAGCTCTCTTTTCTAATTTCAAACTATTCCTTTTCCCATTTGCACTAAAGCCATTAGTTGAAATTTTAACATTCAAGGCAGATTTTTGCTAGAAAGATAGTGGAGATGTGGTTTCTGAATGAGTCGTAGGGTGGTCATTTCCTGAACATTGCTACCAATCATCTTGCTAGCAAACAACTTGCCACCTGAAACTGATTAACTTGCAATATTTTAATGGAGCTATTTGTAGTAGAAGAGAAAAATTTAGGTAATTCTTCAGAAATCTTGGAACTTTATCACTAAAATATGAAATCTAAGAAATAATTGATAGCTTGTTTTATGCAAGACACTTCTTCCAAGTATGGGTGATCTCTGTAGCCATGGGTAACTTTCATTGTTGGTTTCCTATCAGTCTAAACAAACAGTGTATCTTTTTTTTAATTTCTTGTCTAAGTAGCTTTTTCTGAAAGCAGCATTTTGTATTACTCTTTCTTTCTCCATTTTGCTTTATCCCTGTGTATTTTGATCTCTGAATTATTTTCTAGAAACAGCTTAGTTATTGAGTAATTATTTTTATTCGTAGACCATAGAGAGATGAATATTCACTGTGCTTTAATACAGATATAAGACTTTTCAACTGTCTCAGTTTCCCCTCTAGACACACAGTTTCAGGCTTATTTCTGTTTACAGTGCTAGTATTCAGAAAGATCTGTGCTCTTTCAGTGTTAACGAGACTCCTCTCTCATCAGAGAAATATAATTTTGTGTTCAGGCCGTATATCACAGAATCACAGAATCGTTTAGGTTGGAAGGGACCTCTGGAGATCATCTAGTCCAACCTCCCTGTTCAAGCAGGGTCACCTAGAGCATATTGCCCAGGATCACATCCAGACGGGTTTGGAATATCTCCAGCGAAGGAGACTCCACCACCTCTCTGGGCAACCTGTTCCAATGCTCTGTCACCCTCACAGTCAAGAAGTTTTTTCTCAGGTTCAGATGCAACTGCCTGTGTTGCAGTTTGTGCCCGTTGCCTCTTGTCCTGTTGCTGGGCACCACGGAGAAGAGACTGGCCTCATCCTCTTGACACTCCCCCTTCAGATACTTGTACACGTTGATGAGATCGCCTCTCAGTCTTCTCTTCTCCAGGCTGAACAGGCGCAGCTCTTGCAGTCTTTCTTCATAGGAGAGATGCTCCAGTCCCCTCATCATCTTTGTAGCCCTCCGCTGGACTCTCTCCAGGAGTGCCAAATATACCCAAATAGATATTTTTTTCTGGAGACACAATTGTGTAAATTATTGAAAATAGAAGTTATATAAAATTCAGCAGCATTTGTTATACATTATTGATGATAACCCAAAAAATGTATGTTTGCTTGAACATTCTTGTATTTTTAAACAAAACCAAAGCAAAATTCTGTTACTCGTTGTTGCAGTTTAGTAGCGTAGTACAGCATATTTATTTCAAGAATTATGCAGTTTTAACATGAGGTAACATCAAAATCATTTATTCCTCTTATTTGCCTTTGGGATTGTTTCAGCTGAAGTTTCAGAAAAGGGCTTGTTCACATAGCAACGATCTTATTTAATAACCTTAAAAGCCTTGAGGCCATTTGTTTTGGACTGTGGATTTTTTAGTTAAATTGTAGAAATTGTTGTCTTGATGAAAATACTAACAAAAGTAGGTATCCACTGAAACTTTAACAATTACAAAATGTCAATAAAACTCTCTTCCTTAGGACAATTTAATTATTTTTGGTACATCTGTTAAGGCCTCTGGAGCATAGCCTGTAAGCATATATGCAAATATTAACGCAGAAGATATTTAATAAAAAATGTTGGCAGTCCATTAGAGTAATTTTATGTCAATGTAAAAAGCAAGAAAATCTGTAGTTTATGACCTCATTTTAAACATTTTTTTCATATAAATTTGACTTTTTTTGTTTTTTTAAACAAACACATTTTTTCTAGAAAAGAAAGACGTAACACAGAGCTTGGAAAGCTACACATCAAAATGCCCTGGCACAATGGAGTTCATCACTCTTCCAGATGGCCTGAAGTTACCTCCTGTTCCGTTCACCAAATTGCCTATTGTGAGGTAAGACTCTAAAATACAACCTTTAACTTTTCCTCAGTACCTATCAAATTTTAAATGATACTAGAAGGATATAGTCTTCTCAGTTCACATAAATTCTTTACAATAGCATGAAAAAATGTCGAAATGTCAAATTGGTTTGAGAAGTTCTTAGGCAAAAATAGAACCTTTGAGTAGAATTTTTTTCCCGTAGTCTTTAGTTTAAAAAGGAGAGGGAGGTTTTTTATTTTTATTTTTATTTAACTGTAATTCAACCGATCCTGATACAATCTAAGAACAGCATTTTGTAATTGAAGCTGAGATTTAAGGTAGATATGTGACAGTACTGAAAGTCAACATGAGTTGGATGCTCTCTCTCTCTGCGGAGCTTGGAACTCTGCTGGAACTGATGCCTTTTGTAGCTGTTCCTTTCAATATACTGTTTTTTCGAGCTGTCCCCTTCTTTGGCCTTATACACTGTTCAAGTCCTAAGTTCCTTTTTTTTGGCATGTGTGCTAATTCTAAGGTGCATCAGTCAATCAATGCAATGGGCAATTAAAAAGCAGTGTGAAACATTAGAAAGGGAGAACAGTACTTGGGCATCAATAATGAAAGGAGACCCATATCAAGAAGCGGATTTTTGACAGAAAAGTAATTACCCTTCAGAAAAATATATGCTAAAAGTTATTGAAAAAAGTTCTTAGAGATTTGGGTTCTCATGGGATGTCATTGAATGCTTCATGAAGCAAGAGTTTGGTATCACAAAAGAGATATTTAAACTCTATAAAAAGAGTGAAAGCTATTTTTTATCTTCAGATTACTTTCAGTCTCTAAAATGAAAATGAATATTTGTTATACTCTATGGCCATGTTCCATGGTATAACTAGTTTTACTATGTATTCTGTAACCTTTTCATTCTATTTGTTAAATTTATTGAAGAAAGACTCCAACTAATGTATTTAGCACCACAGGTATGTTCACATTAGTGCTGTAGTGTGGGGGAAGTGCTCTTTTTAGAGCAAAATTGTCCTGAGCCTGTACTTGTGGTTTGGTTGTGTGGGATCAGACGCACCAGACGTGTCCTGAAAGCAGTGGTTTGTCTCCTGGCGGAAGAACGTATGAAGCTGTGCACTGGCTCACCGCGTGGGTGACCCTACTTTTAAAGTGTACTTGAGGGGGGAAAACACATCTTCTCTGAGGTCTTCCAGCAGTGTGCAGGATTCGGAGAGCAATGACAAGGCGATGTGAGATGGCTGTGCAGAAATCTGCTTTGTGTTGCCTGTTCAGGGATGCAGTGAGTAGGGGTTAGCATCAGCTTCATTGCTGGAAAACATATGTGTGGACGTAGTCCAAAAACCATAACTGGTAGCACCAAATCAAAGCCTGGTCCTTCCCCTTGTGCTGCACCAGTTGCTAATCTAGATGCACCCCTACATGCTATACATGTACTGCAGCATTATGTAAGGTGCTGCATCCCAATGGGAAAATTATTTGACTAATTTATTATCAGCCTACCTCAAGGATGTTATAGATTCACTAAAAGTGAATGCGCAGAGCTAAGCTAGTCATCTGTCTCCTTTACAGTCCAGACACACAGGTAGGCACATTTTTTCCTGACCCAGTTTAGATACCTGCTTTATGATGAGCTGAATCACTGGAAATCCATGGATTGTATTGAGTAGTTTTCCATTGACCTGAAAGATGCCAGGGGATGAGTTCAGATACCTGTGTCTGCATGTGCGATGAGTTCCCTGAGAAATACATTCTGAAATACGAGGCATATATTTCTTCTGAAAATTTTCTCTGAAGTGGTTTTTAGAAATCCTAACTTAAAGAAAATTGTATCCTCATTTTTTTAAAAGTAGAAAAGAAATAGTGTTCCAAAAAATTAAATTAGTTAAGAAAATTTATATAATCCTTTCTCATACTTGAGTTAATTGATTATAGAGAAATTAGAGCAATAGCTTCCAAGAGTAACTTATTTATGCAAAATAGTTTCTTTTGAGAACAAGGATGCTGTCAGCCTCTTACTTTCTCTTGCAGTTCTCTGTTCTAGGAATAATCCTAGTATTATAGAATGTAAAAACAAACCCACCTTCCTTAATCTGACTGTATGCAGTATGTGACTGTTTTGGTAGTCAAAAATAGTTGTAGGAACCACAGCACTGAAGTTTCTTTATGAATCCACCCCTTAGCTTGGGCTAAAAGCAGCATTGTGTTTAGCAGTGAAATGTTAAATCTTGACTTAGTCTCAGGTTTAGTTTTTTGCTTAACTTTTAAAGCATGAAGGAGGTAGATTGTATTGGATGTATTCCGTAATACTTTCTTGTTCTTCTCCATCTCAATATTGAGGAGACGCTGAATTCAAGCCTGGAAGATATGGGAAACTGATCAAAATCCTTTGCTATAGAAATCATGCATGCAAAGTCCAGTCAACACCTGGGCAACAGATTGCCAGTCTTCAGTGGGAAGACTCTGCCTCGCTTACTTGGAGCGTATTGTGTGCTGAGAGAAGGGGACAGGCGTATTATATACGTTATACTTACTTGTCCTTCCTGGCTGTGGTTTAAGAAATTGCTCACCATCCAGATGCTTCCTATTTATGTTGTCAGGTTTCACTGACCTGGCCGTGCTTGGAGAACTGAAAATAACTT